CTCAACACCATGGTTACTATCGTGGCTTTCATCGTCTAGCACCACCACCCCCCCCTATCTCCCTCCATCTAGCGTCGGCTATAGGAGGTGGGCTCACTTCCCCTCTCCCTTAAGGTCCTGATTTATTTCTTGATTCCCTCGGTTCCATCCCTGGTTGAAACCTCTCATCTTCTTGATGTTTCCCCTCTTCCTACCCCGCCTCGCTTAGGTATTGGCACCGTCGGCAACCCCATTTTCTAGCTTCACCAGACAGCCGGGACTACAGTTGCAGTAGGAGAGAACAGCTTACAGGCTACGGTCGATCTCTCTATTCTCTTGCCCCGGTAAGAGGCTGCCTAGTCGGACACAAACGGGGTTACCGATACTTGTCGTTCATGGAATTGGCTCTACCCCTCCTCTACACTTTGGGGCCTCTTTGGCTGGCAGGTGGTGGGATCCCTTCCACTACAGTGATGCTATCTCTTCCAGAACAAGGGACTACATGAGAGATGTGGTACAACACCTGCTTCGCTTAGGGCTACTCTCCACGGTCAGATCGGTTAGTACCCTACTACGACCTCCTCTCAAGCTGGTACCTTACTACCTCAATTGTTTGGTTGCCTGGGAGGACACACGGTCGCTGGCACGCCTGCTACACACCTTCTCTCCTCACATCTCAGTCGCCCCCCTCGGGGTGGTTTCCCTTAGACCCTATGTGCCCCCGGCTTCGGCTCCCTCCTCCTGGCCTCGTCGTACGCCCTAGGGGTTCCTGTGATGGATTTGAGTTCTGGCCATCGGCCCGTAGGGGTTCGGTTTGGATTTCTGCCTTCAGGTGTTTTGTTCTTAGGGTTGGGCGCATTCTTGGTTCACTGTCAGCTAGTTAGCTTTCTTTTGTCGCTTGGCGGTGCGGGTTATCGGTTCATAGTTTATGGGAAGGATTTCGGGTGGGAGTAGTTTTTTCTACCCTAGAGGGTTTTTTTAGCTCTGTCGTTGGGCCTGGTCCAGGTGGGGATGGTTTTTTAGGCATCATAGCTAGTACTCTATGTGCTGTTTTTGTCCCATAAACAAAATACAAAATGAGTCCAAAAAATAAAAACAAAATCTCTAGCTTTAAGTCTATCATCAGCTAGCGGACAAGAGATCTTATCAACATGTTCGTTCTACTTTACTTCTATCTTCACGAGCCTTCTTGACTATCTCTGAGATAGAAGATTACAGGGCCTGGCGTATACTCAGTGGACTTTAGAGTTATCTACCCCCTAACTATCTTAGACCAAAGAAAAGAGTTCCAGGTACATCAAAATTTATCTTATAAGTACTGAGAAAATATTGTATTTTGATCTAGATTCATTGTACTTTGTGGGATATACTTCTAGAGGTCTTATTTGGTAGAACTAAGGCGGCTGCGTAGTATATAGACTATCCTACAATCTTGTTGTAAAAAGATTAACATCAAAATATGGTTTTGGTAATAGGCTGCATGATATATATTAAGACAAAATATAGTCCTATATATATCAATAATAGTCAGTACTGAATCATGAGTCAAAATAGGATCATAGTGTAGTTGTAGTAGAGAACTGACTACAAAATCTAATATTATAAATATTCATAATACCCATGATCAAAACATGGAGAACTGCTAGTGTCTTTGAGTAGTACAAAATACCCTGAGTGTAGAAGAAATTGAAATAAATCTGATGCTAAAGAAGTCATCTAAGAAAACTCTAGGTATAAAAGGTTTGAATAAGTAACACAATTTCTTACTTGACTTCTATGATACCCTAAGATTTTTTTGTTTTTTGTTTAACTCATTGATTATTTGTTTAGGGTACAAAAAACATATGGAGTGCTAGCTATGACGACAAAAAACCCATATTCCTCCTCTCGCCACAGGAAAAAGCCAACCCCCCAAGCCCCTCTGGTATGGAGCCACCCGCACATCTCGCCTCAAAGAAAAGAAACCCAAGCCCGGCTAGATGGACAAACAAGGAAATCCTAACTAAAAAGAAAGCAGGAAGGGCCAGGAAAACCCGCTGAGAAATCCCAAAAAGACAAAAGAAAGGTTAGTAGCAAGCCACGTAGGCGCCAAAGGACGAGTCCACTCATTCAAGCGGGAAGCGACACACCAAGCGCGCTAAGATAGGGGGCCCCCCGCAGACCCACTCCAAGGAGACAGTGCAATACCATGGAGGGAAGGAGGAGACCAGCCGGCCGTCGGTGATAACCGGGGGGAGGGGAAGGTGTAGCAGTAGGGTCCCAGCCGATCTGACCGTAGGAAGAGGAGAGCGGTGGGGTAGACCCAAAGACCTTAAGCATCATCTATCGGTAATCGCGTTCGTGTCTGACTAGACAGCCTCTTAGGGAAACAAGAGAATAGGGAGATCAACCGTAGCCTGTTGGCTGTTCTCCCCTACTCCAACTGGAGTCCCGGCCGTCTGACGATGGTGGCTAAGGGGTTGCCGACTGTGTGAAGGCTAAGCGAGGCAACTCAGGAAGAGGAGAGGACTCCCCGCCACGCGTGGGGGGAGGAGGAAGGAGGAGTAAGGAAGATCATCAACGGCCGCCTAGGCAAAGCACAGCAGGTGTTTTACCGCGTCTTTCATGTAGTCCCTTGTTCTGGGAGAGATAGCGTCACTGTAGTGGAAGGGATCCCACCACCCGCCAGCCAGCCAAGGAGGGCCGCCGACCGACCAACCCCCAGGGAGAGAGAGGGCCCTGCGACTGTAGACCGAAGTCAATACCCCGGGCGTGAGAGGAGAGAAGAGTCAGACTCCCCTAGGCCAAGGCCAAAGGCAGGAGTTGGCAGGAGAGAGGAGAAAGTTTCGCGACGAAACAAAAAACTCACGATAAAAACCGTGGTGCTGAGTTTTCAATCGCCGGAGGTGTAGCAGAGACGGCGGATGCTATGATACCCTAAGAGGTCTAGGTAAATATGAACTAATATCTTGGCGTGGAATTGATAAAGCTAAATATCAGATAAGATAATAAAAAAAAAAACAATAGGCAAGATTAGGTGGCATGGGTCTCATACTAGGCCTGTAATAGACTGTAACTGCAGGTCTCCAGACATAATAGTTTTATTCTGGCTATACTGGTACATCAGATAATGCTCGTGGTCTATGATTCAGGTAAGAAGCTTTAGATAAAGTTCAGGTAGTACTACTAGGATAATAGGAATATAGAGGGTAAGGACATACACGGAATTTGTATAGGTATTCCACCTGATTATCGTCTTGGAGTCTTTACTACAAGATTATAAGAGTGGTTACATCTGATTCATCCTACCCATATTTGTAGTAGTGCAGTCAGGATTCACATCTTACACCAAATAGATGATCTGCCCATAGAGTATTTATTCTTAGATCTATAGTATAGGAGAGACCCTGACAATGGGGTGGCCTGAGTGGTTCTCAAAGTACTAAACATTAATAACTTGCTCTGGGTAATCAAGACGTAATATTTAAAGGAACCAATTAGGTACTTCCAGTATCTTATCAGGACCAATAGTTATGGTACCTAATTTCTACATTAGAACATATCTAGACCTTTTCCTCTGCTAGCACTTGTGATTCTATACTGATATGAGGCTATCTGTATATGACTCCTTTCTAACTTGAAAGAAGTTAAAGAACCTCTGGATTATTTACTTTTAGAGCCACATTATGACAGAGACAGAGAGACCAGACCCTCAAGCTCCCATTCAACAAATCTCTATTTGTTGATAGTAGTATCTGAAATGATAGTAGGTAATAGGAAGATATTAGGACAGCCATATAAGAGGAGGATGATGAAATCAAGAGTGAAGCAAGCATGCAACTACTCAGTATCTTAGACTCTGAGCCACTTCTCCAGTCCATCCTCTGCTCTGCTTCTAGCACCCCTAACCTGGTCTACTGCCCTCGCTAGACCTCCCGGCATCTTAGATAGGTCTACTGCCTGTACTAAACCACCCCCCTATAGTTCAAGAACATCTGCCATCCATGGTGAACCCTGCTGGGTCTCACAAAAGTCTGTCAGATTTTCTGGATTCTCCTGTACCCAGGACAAATGTGCTGCTTCTACTTAGGACTCCTATAATACTAAGAGATTACTCCCTAGTTTTTCTATGTATTCTTAAAAGCTAGTACATCAAGCTTCATTCATGTACCAGTTAAAGACTTACTCAGAAACAGCTATCGGACCTGTAAGTACTAGCTCTAGCTCTTCTTATTGCCAGGAAGCATGGTTTTTATCTGACATCGTGCTATCTCAGCAGTCTGAGATCCAAATTGTGAGATCTGTACTGGACCTTCTTGCAATTAATCTTGGGATGGCTGACTACTGGAGGAATCTGGGTGTTGGTCATTGATACTAGGTACTATGGCCTAGGTCTGATGGGTTATTTGACTGCCTAACTTCTGATCCCCCTGAGGATCAGCTGCTTTGCTCTCCCAAGCCTTCCCCCTGTCTACTCCACCTTCTTACCCCATACCAGAAACTCCTCTTTGGTATCTACTTCCTCTCCCAATATTATACCAGCTACTCTGGCACTGCCTGCACAGATCATCTGGGTCCCAGCAACTGTACCTCCTCCAAATACTGCCATGCCTGATATGCCAATAAGATATCTGTCTTCAACCCAATCCAACCACAGAGTTCTTGGGGTCAAGGATGCAGGATACCAGTTATCCTGGGCCATGAGCAAGATGATTCCCACTACATGTTAGTAGTTTTCCCTGGCTCCCACTGCTGTGAATGTCATATTGTCTACAACTAATAAGCCTTTTATCTTTAGTGCTTATATTTTCCTTTTCTTGTTCTTGTTGTCCTAAGAGGACTTATCTTTTCCTTTCCTCTTTGGTCTGGCAGTATTTTGTTTTTTTTCTAGGGTGTCCCCTCTTCTAGTCTAAGATAGCGTGTTTTCCTTGAGGTGTTATTGTTGAGCTGTAGTTGTTGGCTAGGTAGGATCTTTGACCCAGTTCCTGAGTAAGGGGTCATCCGAAGGGTCATCTGCTCAGCCTGTCTTACCCTATCCCCTCCCACTATGGCGGTACCACCCTAATCCCTCGCACCATATTCCCCATCGTACTCCCCCTCGATCCCTCTCTAGATTGCCACTTATGATAGTTCTAATCCATGGCGATAAACTATCCACCATCCCCCCTCTGACGATCCCCAGTCATTAAAGCGGTTCATCTACTTCGCAATTCATATATACGCTTCTGGACCTACCACCTCCATACGAGGGGCACAAACATGCGTATGATACCATAACAGTATTTTTTCACGATATCCTCCCCCACTCCTGCCGATTCTCTGTACAGCTAACAGTCGCTAAAAGATCCCCCATGTTAACGCAACAATTGCCAACGATGCACGCTAGGAAAAACAAACTCAGCCCGCCACCGCCAAATCAGAAACTAAAGGATCTTCTGCAATATTGATCTAGCAGCGCTTGCATCGAGCACCAAAAGCTGGATCACGAGCACTAATTTCGAAGTAAACGGAATAATGAAAGAGAAGGAAGAGGACATAGTTTTTAACATGGGATAAACAAAGCGCCAAACAAGAGAGAAAACACATGCAAAGCCGTTCCTCATCACTCGACGGACTTCCATCGCCTCTGCAATGCCTCTAGCTCCTTATACAAGTCCGTCAACTCCGCATCCATAATGCTAGTCCCCGAACCATGCCGCCCACATCGGTAACCACTATCACCCCCACTACCTGGAGCATAGAGCGTCAATCGGCCATCGCCCGTTTTCCTCGCGGCGATCTCCGCATTGATTTCGTTTGAAAATTCTTGGACTTCACAGAATATTTTTCCTCTCTCAATGGCTGCCTGGGCGAAGTATTTGATATCCCGTTTGGCACAAGCTGCTTCCCATATATGTTTCATTCGTGGGGAATAGAGGTCGCAGGCTTGGGGTTCAGGCGAGTAGCGAGCGCGTACTGTCAATTGACAGTTCAAGGGGCCATCCCGTACGTACTCGGAGTAACATTCCTCACAAACAACGAACTCATCCGTGCCATACCACTTCATCCGTGCCAAGAAATTTGGGCGACAAGGTGGGATCTTGGCGCGGGGGATGACGTAGGAAAGGAATATGTCGAATCTTTTCTGCTTCGACGCCTCTCCGAGTTTCTTCATATAAGCTGCGTATCGAGGGCTATCTGGTGCTAGACTGCATGTACGAGTAGCAGTCGAGTTCTGAGTTGGAAAACCAATCGGATCAAAGTAAGGTGCAAGATCTAATGGCCGGAGAATACTCATGTAACAGGATCGGCAACATTGGAAGTTCTCAAGATTCTCATGTGGGTGGCGCAAACCATACCACTCCCATGCAGCCTGATCTGTGAAGCCCTTCTCAGAACATTGAGGAAGCGTCATTAGGGCATATACAGCTTCCCACCAGGTTTCAAATGAGCCCTTTTGAACCGCACTATCCCATGGCATCTTGATAGCCAAGGGGGCCATACCGCACATTAAAAGCTGCTGAGGAGAGACGGTTGCCTCAGTGAACTTATCCTCAAAATGCGGAATAACGTTATCACAATAGCAGGCCTCGCACACAGCCAAACCAGGTATAGGCCTCTTCGGAATGTACCACCTTCGCTCCCCGCTCCTCACCCTAGAGGGACCCGGACACGGCGGGACATTGTGGCGGAACCTCACGAGGCTCACAAAATCATCCCATTGATCCTTAATGATATTGTCCTGGTAATTCCACAACGAAAGCATGCCTCCCGAGATGAAGGGAAAAGATAGATCACAGACCCAAGCCTCCTCTTCTGGTTGAGGGTTGACAAGAGCGAAGTAGGAAGTAAACCCCGTAGCCATTACCATGTCTTGGTAACACGCGTCACAGCATCGAAATCTGGGCATTGATCCATCAATCACCCTCCACCACCTCGATGATAAACGGCCCACTGTGTTCCCCGAAACGGTACTGCATTCAGGTATATTTGATCGCATGAGAGCATATTCGCGAAGGCCACTGAGAACCCCCCTCTCAAGGGCGTTGGGCCATATCCTATGAAGTACACGCTCCGTGCTAAAATCGCAGGACACCTCGGCATTTGAAGATTTTTCGACAGCGTGGAAGTGTTCCGCAAAGAGTGAAGGGTATATATGAGTGTAATAGCAATTTGCGCACACGTCAAAATTTGGAACCGAGAGCATCTGAAACCATTGCCCCCAGGATACAGGGGTTCTCTTGGGGCACCTGGGGAGGGGCTCTCGTGGAGGTGGTGGCAGCAAATCACGCCGGACCTGCTGGGCGGGGAGTTGTCGGGGTGTGTGCGTCGCCGCTGGAAAAAGTGGCGGTGTTTGGTATCGCAGCAGGGGGCTCTGTGTAGCTTGTTGTGAAGGTGACGGCTGAATTGGCGGAGGCTGAGAGCTAACTAGAGGGCTCAGGGAGTGCCTGTATGGTGGAGACCCCCTCTGCACAGGCGGTGGATCAATCGGGGAATGTTGGGGATAGGGCCTTCTATCTCTGGGAGTTGCGATCTGTTCGGTATCTCTAGAGGCCTGAGCATACCGTCTGAAAGCTTGGCCGCCCGAGTGTGGAGTCTTCGGGGAGGTCTGGGTATAAAGGCTCGACTCCCTTGGTGAGGAATAGGTAGACAAATCTGGCACTGTGTCATGCTCCGACTCTGATGGGGAATCGGGACCCGAACCCTCGTCAGAGACTTCGTAAAATGGTATGGGGCATTCCTTCCAGGGCCTGGATTCCTCTATAAGGGGTTCATTTTCTAACTGCCCATCGGTGAACCCACCACGCAGGCTAGGAAGCGGGGGTGGTGACTCCCCAGGCGGAGAGCCGGGTGGGACTTGTTGTTGCCGTAGCCCAGCGTGGACGCCGGGAGCAGGGGGTGGAAAATAGCTTTCGTTTTTATCAAGCACATGCTTAGAATCTGGGGAGAGCGTATCAAGACTTAGCGGTGACTGGGGAGCTGATTCGACGGAGGGTGGCTTATAACCGCGGGGGGGGAGCCCGACGTTTATATCCCGCGGCCGATCCCCGCACCGACCGGTACGGCTATCGCGGTGCAAGTGGGCAAGATTAGGAGAGCTCGGTGAACCGTAACGCCATGAAGAGCGTGACGAAGATGAGGAAATTGAGGAAGAAGAGGATGAAACTGAGGATGGTGGCGCGGGGTATTGACAGTATTGGTAGTTGGGGTTGTTGGGGTCAGGGATTTTTGGTGGTACGGGAGGCGGTGACGTTGCGCTTTGGACTCGGCGATGATTAAAACGTTCAAAAACCGGGGGGGCACGCTTCTGTGTACTGTGAGGCTCCCCTTGGGTTCCCGGAGGAGGAAAGTGTGACTGGGGAAGTTGTGATGGCGGCGTAGGCGGGGGAGGCGGAGGCGGAGGAATGTATGGCGGGGCGACATATTGCGGTAGGTTTGCCGGGTATAATTGTTGGGGTGGGTATGAAGGTTGCCGAGAAGAGGCCGGCGCGGGGTAGCGTTTATAGCTAAAGTGGCTCATAGTCGCCAGCAGGCGGAGGCAACAGGGCGATGGAAAGAGTCGAGCAAGGAGAGTGATGGGCGAGGAGAGGAAGAGGGCAACAAGGGGGAGAGGGGAGAGGAAGAAGCGGAATAGTAGATGGTAGTGGTGGAAGGAAAGGATGGACTTGGAGGTTTGGGTGAGGAGGGAGGAAACTCGGGGAGTTGCCAGTCAAGTGAGTTCAATCGCAGAGTTTCCCTGTTGTTGCCAGTCCTCATTGAGTGACGTCGAGTAGAAGGTTTCTAGTCAGACAGGTGACGTGCGTGACACAACGATCCACCAGCGATCCAAGGGAGGATTAAAGAAATTCTATTCGTCCAAGCTGACACCACTGCCGTTTTGGAATTCAGGTTCTCCCTTTTTCTTTTTTTTCTTTTCCTTTTTTCTCGATTGTCTTGCCTTTGCGTGACATGGATTGGACAGGTGGAGGGGCTGACTGCAAAACACGCTGGCACCATCCCGGAGTCACATCGTTACCCGCCTCCCTGTTCTCTTTTCTCTTGTCCAGCCCAATCGATTCTCCCTTCCAGAATCTTCCGGTAATTCCTGTGCGCGGAGAGCAAGGGATATTGTTCTTTCAAAAAGGAAAATGAAAGGGGCAAAGAAAGAAAGGTAGATTTTGCCGTGTTTTTTACCCCCGCCACTGACTCATTCAGAGTGCCATAGGAGTCCCAACGGGTGATAAGATAGAGAGGCGCACTCCCCACAACACAATTCTACCCATGTGTGAAATGTTTAACCCATCCCTGGGCAATGCCAATTCCCGTGCTTTCCTCTTGTCCTGCTTAGCAGTGAGCTGCTCTCCTCCTTAGTCCTAGAATAACAAAGGCCAAATTGAAGCAAGTTTGGTTTAATTTGGTCAGCATCAGAGCCTAGCGAATTTCTCTCGCCTGACCACCCCCTGAATCGCGGATACAGCACTCTGTAAGTAGCTCTGCTCTCTGTTCTAGAGCCTTGGGATGCTCGAGTTAAACACTTTTGCTTATTCATGGCTTCGGAACTGAACACGGTACTGACTGTTCCACTCTTGCTGTGGTAATGTGCACGAGTGCTAACAGTCCCCTCCGCGAGATCTCGTGGGCCTAGCACTGGCTGTGGTTTCTCAACATCTGTGGGCTTTATATTGGCCCATGGGGCCCATGGGCTCTTGCATTAAATAGATACGGTCTTAGGTATTGAGCCACTGGCACGGTGCTGGACTGGCAATATGGATTATGATGTTGGGGAAACAGTAAAACCTTTACTACAGCCGCACACAGGTGGTAACAAGACACATGTGAAAATTCTCTACTTTCCAACTTCTGTCCATATAGCAACAAACCCACACAACATGCCAATCGATAAGAACACTGGAAAGCGGTGACAGGCTACAGAAACTGAGTGTATTGAAGTTATTGAAAAGCAGGCTGAAAGCAAAAATTACTATGAAATTACTTATGCAACCACAGTCTCAAAATTGGAGGTATGGTAAATTGTCAAATGATGGAAGATCAATAAAACAAGTAATTCCCTCCCACATCCTGGATTGAAGCCTAAACTGGATACAAGTATAAAGTGGCCATTGCATCAGATCAATAAGCAAAATCCTCATACTCTGCACTAAGATAATAATTATAAGTGTGGTTTTGTTAGAACCTACACATGGGCTTTTTTGGTTGCTACTGGGAAAACAGGTTTGAAGGGTAGCAACCTGAAAAAATCAATCTTGAGATAAACACTTTTTTCTTTTCCTCTATAGGAGAATCACTTCTCTTCTATAATAAAAATTTTTAAAAATAAGCTAATTCGATTAAAAATTTATTTACTATGTAGAGTATATATCTATGATTTAAGATTTGTAAAAATATATTATTTCCATGGTTTTTTCTACTATGTTTATTCTTAGATTCCCAATGTTACTGTCTTTTATATTTTCTTCAAGTTATTTCTGACAATTCCTCCTTAATTACTAGAGTTTTTCTTAGCTGCTCAATTATTTGGCCTTCTTATGACTTTACCTTTGAACTTGTTACAAGAATCTTATTCTTACTGGAATAGGTGCTTATATTTTTATAGAGTCTTTTATTGCCTGGACTTGATGCCAATATTGTAAAAGGTACTGTATTGTAGATTTACAATTCATCCATCCTGTACTTTTTTATGTTAAATATTTGCCAATTACTAAAAGGTAATTGCTATAAGTTCTGTACCATAGATTTTCTAGTATTAAATTTTGTTACTTATTTCACGAGGATTTATGATGTTCTTCATACAATATAATTTAACAAAAAAACCATCTTTACTTGAATGACTCATAACATCATATCTATATGACCTATTGATTTGAAACCAGGTTCTACAGATAGCCAGAAAGCTCTAATATTGTTCTATGAAAAAAAAATCTTTTTAAGATATTTTACATTTTTGTACATAAAACAGGCTACAGAGGTTGTTAGAGGTTGAAAAATATTTTCTAAGCTATTTAGAGTATGATCTAGAAGGCTATCTATCTGGCTATGCTAAAATAAATCTTTTGTTGTTGGAGGCCAATGTGTAGGTTCTAACAAAACTACACTCATAATATTATAGTTGATCTGAACTTAGAGGTATCAGAATAAACTATAGAAAAAGCTCTTCACTTGATGAACTTTTATGTTCATATTGCCTACAAAAAAAACCTTTTTAAATTGTGAATCCAAGTATGATCACTTGCAATGAGCTTGAGAAAGGCATCCCTGGAACAAGTGTAATTGGAAGAAAAAACATCTTGACTAATAAAATGAGACTTACTAATGAACAAGGAGTGTTGAATTTTCTAATTTGTTTCATATGTATATTGTCCTGAATAATATTGTACTAGTATATTTCTTTACTTAGTATTATTTCTAGACTAGGAACATTACTGTAGCTGGAGTATGTATTATGTATATTTCATTTAATATTTCATGATATAATTAGGAATTATGGCATACTATTCTTATCTGTTGTTTGCGTTTATTTCTTACATTTTATACATTATCATGTACAGTTATCAGTTATTGGATTTACAATTATGCTTTGGTTGTCTATTTACACCACTTCAGATTTAGGTATCTTTTATAGGATTTCCTTGGCAGTTCTTTAGGGTCAAATACATTCACCCTTATGTTTTTCCTACATATGTTACAGTCAAACATGTCAATACTTATATTTTCCCTTACATTTCCACTTAGGTATGCGAAGAATATACATCTTTATAAATAGGGGTTAGCATCCATCTGGCTTAAGAGAATTAAGGACAAGAACTACTACTAATTTACCTGCACACAAAACTCCTCCTTGCTTAGCGTACACGCAGTAAACTCTCTCTACTCTATCTTATTTTGGTACTGTGTCATTAAGATAGTGCCGTACTGTGCACATTTGAACAAGAAGGAGGATGATCTCTCATTTCGCATTCACGAGTGTTAGCAAAAAAAAGATACTTACTTTCTGTTACTTAGGACATGATGTAGCGATACCCTGGTGCTCAAACTTCACGCTTTCTTGTTTCTAACTGCTGCTCCCATATTGGCATTGCTCCTAATGCTGGCCACATCCAAACTGTTAATACCCTACCCCCTCATTGTCCCTATCTGCAAGCACCTAAGTACATTGGGCTGTAACTATGTAACTCCTCCTATTTCCCATCTTGATTCCAATACTGAATCCTCTTCTCTCTGAGCTTGGTTGACTATGTACCTCACTATCCAGACTTGATATTGCATCTACTTGACAACTCTCAGTAGTTCTGGTATGTTTATCCTCTGGTCTGGACATCTATACAACATGGTTGGTTAGTTGATTTAGAACTCATGGTATTTGGCTCCAAAATCCAGTTAACTTTTCAATATTTCTTCAGTAATCTGGACTAGGCCCCAATTTCAGTCGGGTGTTATATTCTCCATACTTACATCCTAATTGATACACTTTTCTCACTATTTCTACCATTGGGCCTGGTTCTGCTTCTTTCACCTTTAACTCTTTTACAGTATATGATTGCCTCATGATCTTGAAGTTTCATACAAGTAGCGACATGTTGTCTATTAAGTCTAGTATCATATCAGCTTACTGCAATTTATTCCCTGATTACATGTATTTCTTCCTTCTCACCTCTGCTACCAACTATTCCCCCTACTATGAGGCACTTGCCAACAACATCAACCAGTTCTTTGCAGTTGGTAACAACCCTTATCGACACTTTTACCTGGCACCTAACGAGGTTCAGCTTGTGATTGATGGCCTCCCAGCTGCCTTCCTCCCCCATGACTGATCACACCTCTTTCCTATCCTTACCACATCTATCAAGAATGCTAAGGATGTTGATACCTTTAGAGTGTGGTATATTCAGCTTGATCCCCTCCTGTGCAAAGTCACCACCTTGGTGGTCATTATTGTTGCCCTCTCTGAAGTGGTCCACATTGGATCCAAAATCCTCCTCTACTCCAAAATACGAAATATGCAAAATGTGGTCTCTAAGACCAAGTTCAAGCATGTACTGCCTCTATCCCAGTCTCCCCAATCTGTGTGTCAGAATACATGAGGGCCAACCATTGCTATTGCAACTGAACATGCTCCAAACTGGGCCACCTCAAGTCAGTGATCGGCTCCTGCCTGGTATCTCCTGCTAAGTACCTAAACTGTGCCAGTGGCCATCCCGCTACTGACAGGTCCTGCCCCTCATGCCCCTTCCAATTACCCCAGCCATCATCGGACTCTGGGGGATAGGACGATAGTAGGGTTGACACTATGGACCTAGACTACACTTAGCCCAACCATGCCTGAATGCCAAGCCTGCTGGCGCCTCTCTTGCCAACTGATCTTATGGATGTACCCTACCACATTAGGGCCCCTATACCATGAGCCCCTCTACCCTCCTCTTATATTGCTACATCGTTTGACTACCTAGAGGAGTGCAGAGGAACATTCCAGTTCCTTCCTATTCCTTTGGAGAAGTGATGGTATAACCCATGGATCCAGATGTA